AAAACAGAAGCCAGTGTCTTGTGATTCATAATGGAGAAATAAGATACTCACTTTATCTTTATTATCTTCTATGTTTTGCATTGTTTATCCAATTGGTCATCATAGTTGACAGAAATAACTCCAAGGATGTATACAGGAGTAAATAGATTGAAAGAATTTGAGCACTTTTCTGTATCCAAAAATGAAATTAAATGAAATTAATTACATTTCTTACAGATCTTGGCATGCTAATATTTTCAAAAGCATAAAACCATTATAAAATTTCAGGAAATTGAAATATGACAGAGAAAATGATCCAATATATTTTCACCATCAGTCATATGAATACACATGTGAATATATTTTATCATCATTATTATTATAATTGCTTATGAGAGATGATGAAAATCTGTCATATTTCTGCCAAATGGACAGTAGGAATCATTGACTATGTTTTCCTACTTGTGGTGGCTAAAGTTAGAAAACATTCACTGAACTCACTGAACCTTCTGGAGAAGATGAGGTTGGGATTTTCCCGTGGTTCGAAGTTTTTAAATGGAGAGGTGTGTAGAATCATAGCTGTTGTTAGAAAAGGTCCTAAGAAGTAACCCACAATGAGGGAAAAGGTTTGGATTGGTCACTGGGAAACACACAAAGGCTGAAGTGTCCTGCAGGTTACCAGGCTGTCTCCTGCTGTGACTGTATCTAGGGTACCAGACCTCAAAAGACCCAAATTCTTGGGAGAGAGTTGGGCAGCAGACAAGAACAGAGAATTTGTAATATTGAAAGGCCAAGTCTGAGAGGCCCACAGTGATTTTATGACAAGACCATCATGAGCCACTGGTAAATATATTTACAGTGACACCATTGAATAGTAACTGAAGCCATGGTAGTAGAAAGTGCTGGGGTATTGATGGGCTACTGATATGCTCCAAGATCCTATCAAATAGGGGTTTGAAGTCAGGATTGACTGTGTAGCCTCCCATGTTTTTGAGTAATTTAGGAGTGTCAACAAGATGAAAATTCTGGATTTCCTGTGAATATGGCCTTTAGTAGTTCAAGAGATAATGCTTTGTGAAAGAGTTAAGGGCATAATCACATTCCAACTCAGTAAGACTGACTTTGCTATTATGCAAATAAGGTCTTAAGCAATTTCTTAATGTTTATATTTATTAAAGATTTCATTTTAAGGTATCCAGTAGGATAAAATAGCACTCCTCAAAGCAATAGGACACGGTCTTGTGATGTGCCACTGAACTGATTTTCAGTTGGACTTGGTATTTTGTGGTAAAAGAATTTGGAATTTAGACTCTCCTGGCTTAGAAAAAAATACTATGAAGTGCCTACCCCTGCCACCCTGAGCAAACATCGTAATGTTTTAAGCTTGTTTTACTCTGTAATACACAAGGTCGCTATGAGTCACAACCCTTTGGCAATGGATTTGATTTTTTTTTAATGTTTAGAGCTGAAGGAGAGCTTAATTAGGCAAGGAACATAGAAACAGGCAATCTCCCATAGGCTTAATTCAGAAATGGTGGTTTCTAGATCTTGGTCAAAGACCCACCTATTTTGACCTTCTCACAAAGAGAAAAGGAAGCCATCGAGAAAGTTTTGGTCTGTATGGCTCCAATTCTTAACCAAACTGCTGAACATTGACTCCCTTCTCCTTATCCTTCTAACCACCTCTTTCCACACTAAGCATATACAGACAGATGTACATTAAGCCCATATTTATGCATGCACAGCCACACACACATGTGCACAACTACTGAAACACGAGCAGAGACACACTGAAGTGCTGACAGACTGACATGCTCAGCAAGCTGACAGTGCAAACATGTCCACACTAATATGCATGCAGAATCAAGTACACATGCATTCCAAATTACACATGTACACAGTTCAACCTGTCTGTAGACTAAAGCCTTGACATCAAATATAAGTCTTTGGGTGTCATAGTTAAATAAGAATGCTATTCTCTCCAGAGATTAAGTACTGCTGCAACAAATTTGCCGAGTTAAGGCCAGGGGGACACCTGGCATCCGAAATGTGGGTACTTAGAAGGAACTGAGCTGCTCACTATAAAAATATCTGACTGTCCCATGAATCAAGGATTGAGTATAATGTTTGGTGTTGTTGTTGCTAGGTGCCATCAAGTTGATTCGACTCCACATGCACAACAGAATGAAACACTACCCAGTCATGCCATCCTTACAACCATTCTTCAGTTTGAGCCTGTCAATGCAGCTGCTGTGTCAACGCATCTTGTTGAAGGTCTTCCCCCTTTTCATCGTCCCATTACTTTACTGAGCATGATGTCCTTCTCTAGAGACTCGTCTCTCCTGAAAAGATGTCCAAAATATGTGAGATTAAGCCTCGCCACCCTTGCCACTAAGAATTCTACCGATGTCTTCAGTCTGAAATGGATCAAACAAGTCATCAAGATGCATGGATAATTATTGGCAATTGAAACGCAAACATTAGAAACAAAGAGGAAGGAAGAGTGATTGGAAAATATGGTCTTGGTGATAGAAACTAAACTGGAGCTTGCATGATAGAATTTTGCAAGACCAACGACTTCATCATGAAACGTATCTTTTTTTTAGCAACACAAACACTATACACATGGAATTCGCCAGGTCAAATACACAGAAATCAAATGGACTACATTTGTGGGAAGAGAAGATGGAGAAGCTCAATATCAGCAGCTGAAACAGGTTAGGGGCTGACTGTGTACCAGACCATCAATTGCTCATTTGTAAGTTCAGGTTGAAGCTGAAGAAACTTTGAACCAGTTCATGAGAGACAAAATATGACACTCAGTTCATCCCACCTGGAGTTTGAGAGATCTCCAGAATAGATTGGACACCTTGAACACTGATGACAGAAAGGCAGAATGGCTGTGGGATAACATCAAGAACGTCATTCATGAAGCAAGCAGAAGGTCATTAAAATGACAAGAAAGAAAGAAAAGATCAATGTCGATGTCAGAAGAGAATCTGAAACTTGTTCTCAATCATAGTTAAGGCAAATGGAAGAAATGATGTAGCCAGAGTTGAAGAGAAAATTTCAAAGGGCAGGCTGAGAAGACAAAGTAACATAATGACATGTGAAAAGACTTAGAGTTAGAAGACCAGAAAAGGAGGCACACTTTCAGCATATCTTAAACTGAAAGAACTCAAGAAATTCTAGACTCCAGTCGCAATATTGAAAGAGTCTATGGGCAAAATGCTGAACGATGCAGGAAGTGTCAAAAGAAGATGGGAAGAATAGAGTCACTGCACCAAAAATCACAGTCAATATTCCACCATGTCAAGAGGTAGCATATGAGCAAGAATATAATGCTTACTCACTTAGAGACTACCAGGAAGATGTTTACTTATGTTTGATTGACTATGCAAAGACATTGGATTGTGTGGCTCATAACACACTATAGATAACCTTGAGAAGAAAGGGAATTCCAAAACACTTCATTGTGCTTATGCAAAACTTGTACATGGATCAAGAGACAATTGTGCGGACAGACAAAGGAATAATGCTTGGTTCGAAATCAGGAAAGGTGTGTATCAGGGTTGAATCCTCTCACCATTCTCAATCAATCTGTATGCTGAGCAAATAATCAGAGATACTGGGCGATATAAAGAAGCGTGTGGCATCAGGATTTGGGGAAGGCTTATTACCAACCTTCGATGTGCAGATGACACAACCTTGCTTGCTGAAAGTAAGAAGGGCTTGAAGCCCTTGCTGATGAAGATCAAGCAGTGCAGTCTTTAGTGGGGGTTATTACTCAATGTAAAGAAGACCAAATCCTCTCAACTGCAGCATCATGATAAATGGAGAGAAGGTTGAAGCTGTCAAAGATTTTGTCTTGCTTTTGTCTTAGATCCACAAGCACTGTTCCCGGAAGCATCAGTCAAGAGATCAAGACATGTTCCATTAGGTAACCCTGCGGCACAAGATCTTTTCAGAGTAATGAAAAGCAAGGATAATACTTTGACGACTAAAGTGCACCTGACCCAAGCCACGGTATTTCCAATTGCCTTATATGCACATGAAATTTGGACAATGAATAAAGAAGACAGAAGAATAATTGATGCACTTCAACTGTGGTGCTGGAGAAGCATATTGAAAGTACCATGGACTGCTCAAAGGACACACCGATCTGTCTTGGAAGAAGTAAGGCCAGATATTCTATAGAGGCAAGGAGAGTGAGACTTCATCTTGCATACTTTAGACAACATCTTGCATGTGTTGTCAGGAGAGAGCAGTCCCTGGTGAAGGACATCATGCTGGGTAAACTGGAGGGGCGGCATAAAAAAAGGAAGGCCCCCGGCGAGATGGATGGACCCAGTGGCTGCAGCAATGGGCTAAAGCACAGGATCAATGATGAGGGTGGTTCAGGACCGGGAAGTGTTCCCTTCAGTTGTGCATAGGGTCGCTATGGGTTGGAACTGACTCAGTGGTACCTACCAACAATAACATTCAAAATATCACTAGTAAAGTTTATAGTACCTTCCATTTGTTACTTGAGGCTTCTGGAAGTTCCAAGTGGGGAATATAAGTTGTAACATTTTTGGTAGCTGCATATGCCAAAGAGTAAATAATAATGAAGGTCACACCTCTATACCTTGCCTAATACTGGTATTCCCTGATTTAAGACGGTGTTCTATTCTGACACCTCCACAGTTTAAGTTGCTTTTGTGATAAGTCAAATACCTCTCTCTCTCTCTCTGTTTTCAATATTATTGTCTTTGATTATCAGTATCTATAAATTTGATCTTTACTTGTACCTGGGGGCCAGAAACACTACACACAAACTTATAGATATATTTGAACACAGAGTTTCATAAAAATACACAGCTCATAGAACCTCCTAAATTGTCATTAGGTGCAGTTTACAATAATCCAAGCATGTCATAAGTTGGAGACTCCCTGAACTCAAATATTCTGATAGCTCACTAAATCAGTTAAAATGTAATTATAAAATGGGGTTTAAATTCCCATAGAAATCCAGAACTTACCTGGGGCCAAATAACTTTCACTGAACTGAAAGTATACACCATAAGCTCCACTATCAGAAGAAAGACACCAATCGAGGCAATGATGGTACTCATGATGTTCAGTGCTAAAATACAGGCTATCTGGAACAGACAAGAATAGTCATCCAGTTACTGGCCGTCTGGATAGGTGAGGATGGGGTTATCCATATGCATTGCTGGCATATTCAAGTGGATTTATAGAAAGCTTAGTCTTTCCAGAATGGTGAGGTCAATAAAAGGACTCTCAGCGCTGCTGATTTGGTAGCTATCTCAATAGGAATGAACAATTATGGAGATAATAAACGTCCGGTGTCATATGCCTGTATTTATTCCTTTGCTGAGAAGCAGTGATTCGCTAGGGGTGGAGTCACCCAGTGTGGTCCACCACCCCCTCCATGTGGCCCTCCTCCATTACCAGACCTTAGTACTGTTTTTTTGTCTGGCTCTTACTCGTAAATTGTCATTTCTGCCTATCACCAATGCCATCACAATAGCAGTGACATAGCAATCCACCAATTTAAAATGACACCTTAAAATGGCAATGTGTGATGCCTGGCGGAAATGAACTTATATTTGCATGGTTTCACAGGGATAAAATAGGGACTGGTTCTGCCAAAGACTGGGGGAGCAGCTGCATGGTCTCCAACATGGGGACACAGGCCAGCATCCAGGCCTCACCTAGCAAAGTCCCCAACTGAGGGACAGACAGCATGGCCCACGTTCTTTCCACGTTCTGTCCACTGGGCTCACACTGCAGCCTCACCTGTCTGGTCTTCCCAAGATGGGGGAGCGGCATCATGAAGGACTTGGGTGATGGGCTGCTCTCTTGCTAACTGAACAGCCCTGAGAAGGCCAACAGAACTCGAGGACCAAGGGAAATAGATGTGGGCCAGGTGCTGGTGTCACCTATTGTGGTCTAACCCACCTGAAGCCCAGCTCACCACCCTGGTGGTGCCACTGCGGACACATAATTATTGAATTCCTATGGTAAGCCATCCAAACCAGCTTTTGTGTTGTAGATTGTTAGAAAAGAGATGGTATGTAAGGAACTTTTAGATTACTGACCTAGACAAACAAGCACACATTGAACATGAAGAGAATGCTTAAAAAAAAAAAAAGGTGTTAACAAGATAGGGAAAACATGGTGTCATGCAGTATGTGACCACCAGAAAGAGAGATCAATTCCAATGCCTACCACTTGCACAGTTTCTCCAGGATCCTGGGAACGTCCTTAGAAACTCTGTATCCATAAATTGATATTTCTTCTTTTTTTTCCACAAGTATCTCAGGGATTATCTACACCTCGGATCTCTAGCACCTGCCAGGGGGCTGGTGGAAACCAAGAGGAAGAGCAAGGGGTGCAGAATGTGAAATCCAGTTGAGGCCTGTGCGTTGCCATTCAGCACAGCGTCCCTACTCAGGGAGATCAGCTGGCACAGAACAGAACGCTGCTGGGTCCTGCGCTGCCTGCGGGAGCATTGGATGCTCCACCGTGGCTCCCGGGTGACTCCATTTTGTTGAGGGCTCCCTCATTTCCACTGGCCACACAGGATGCTCTTTTCTATCCATTAGTTTTCCCGATGCCCTGACCAAAGTCTGCAAATAGGAATCTCCTCTCCTCGCTTCTAAGGGGAGTTCTCATTGATTTCTTCTAAGACTGTTTTGTTGGCTCCTCCATCAGTCCACTCACTGTAGAGTCAGTATTGTTGCCAGATGTACCAACTGCCCCTAACATCTCATTTCATTGTTCAATGTTTGCAGGCATATGAACCACTTGAAAAGCCCAAGGCTTGGGTCAGGCACGCGTTTGTCATCAAACTGATCTTGCTGTTTTCAGTAATTTGAAGGGAAACATTTTATAGCAGATTTGCCCAGGGCAAGAAAGCCTTTGATTCCGTGACTGTTGCTTCCCTGAATGTTGACTGTTGATCCAAGTGGAATGAAGTTCTTGACAGCTTCCATTTCTCCTCTATGATCATGATGTTTATCAGTACCATTGTGTGCTTTTCACATTCAGGTATACTCCATACTGAAAGCTGTAGTTTTTGTGACCATCAGCAGTGCTTCAAGTTTTCATTGTCGGTAAGCAAGGCTGCGCCATCTGCAGGTTGTAAATGAGCCTTCTTTCAATCCCGGTATCACATTCTTCTTCACACAGTCCAGCTCCTGGAATTATTTGTTGAACATGCTCATTGAGTTAAGTAAGGTTAAAAAAACAACCCTACTGTACATATTTTCCAATGAAACTAGATTAGAATTTGGGTTATATTGGTGAAGCGACAGAAGATTGCATGCTGAACATTCAAGGATGCATGTACCAAATGAGTCGGTTATTTGCCCTAGAGAAAAAGAGCATATATCTATACAAAGTCTCATCCATGAATGTTCATATGTAATTTATATGCATCAGTGAGAATTTCATTAACAGGTGAATGTGTGAACACATGGTGGAAAATATACACAATGGAATACCATTCTGCAACAAAAAGGATTTAAATATTAAAATGATTGTGCCAAAGAATGCTGAGTCAATTTCTAGCAATTTAGAGAAAATGTGGCCTCCTTACTGCCTATCTTCCTTTTGGAAAATGCAACTGTTATCTATAGCATTTCTAGAAACGTTCTGACTTACCATATTCATTGAATGGATCTTGTCTAGAGTAATTGTAGAGATTCCTGACATGATGTACTGGAACCAAAAGATGACATTTGTTACTATTAACTTATGTTTAAGTGTAAAAAGTAAGAGAATTCTGTGACACTACAACATGAAGTATTTCATCATCATCGTTCACTGGAACCACTGAGAAAACCATCCAGGCAATGATTCAAAGGTTCTCTCTTACAGAGATGGGAAAACCATAAAGTCACTACTGTAACACATGCATTGGGGAGTTGGGATCCAGAGGGCTCTTAGATGAATCCCTTCATCTTTGTGGAGTAAAATGACTGAATTTTAATTTTGAGGGGAGGGGGTCAACCATAATTTATGGCTATAACTTATTCTTTTTGCAGGTGAGTGTTTTTACTATAATGCTGGGACATATTTTACGAACAGGGAAAGTCATTCAGAATAATAGCCGCAAATTCAGTTCACATAATCACATTTAAGACTCCCACCAGTCTCCCATTGTGTGGAAGCAGCTTGCTCTGAAGACTTCCCATTGTTTTCAGAAACTTGTTAGAGATGTTAGCTAGGGTGTCTCCAAAATGTACTTCTCTTTTGTCCTTGGTGCAGACTTTCCATTTGCATAGAAACTTCCACATCATTGAAAATGTGTGGGAAGCTGAGGAATGGGAGGACAGTGTTCCATGGACAAATTCTGTATTCTCCTATTTCAGAAGCCTGGGAGGCCAGGGCTCTGGGTGAAAGGAGGCCTTTGCATTTGTGAGTTAGAGATGAGCCCCAATCACATTCTCATAACTAAGATTAATCCCGACAATATCCTCCTTTCTCTATAGGAGCAGAAATAATGCTATTGCTCTCCCTGCTCAGGGGACAGTCACTGCCCCTTACTGCCCCAGCACTGGTGTTAAGTTACTCTTCCAATGAGCTCAGGGACTTTTAGGTTTAAGACACTGCCCACTTTGTTATGTATGTGGTTACCTCTAAGTAGGAGGGCTTGCATTCCCCAAGACTATATTAGTTGATGTAAGAATGCATTTTCTCTCTTTCTCCTGGACCTGGTGCCTGGCACCATGGAGATAAGCACCCCAGAGCTTTTGTCTGTCTCTTAATTTCTTCCCTCCAATTACACAACCAACCCTTAGAACCCATCTGTATGTGGGCTGGATCCCACAAAAATGGAACTATTCAGTTAGGAGGAACCATACTCTTCTCCATAGAAATGGTGCCACTGGCATGCATTTTGGAGACAGAAGACCTGAATTAAAATTATTTCTTCTATCATTACATTTTGCTTTTCCCATTGGTAAAGTGAGGATCCATGCTATTGTGTTGTGGTTGTAAAAAGTTATGTATAAAAAAAGCAATTTACTGAATTATTTATGGTTAGCTTGGTTCCACCATTTTTTACCTATGTGTAGAAACTTCATTTCCCAGAATTCCTTTCCTTATACTGTTTCTGGCTACAACTAGTTCAGGGAAAAACTAAACAAGGCTATAACTTATTCTCCTTCCACCCAGGACCCTGGCCTACCAGGCTTCTTAAATAGGAGAATAAAGAATTTGTCCATGTACACTCTCTTCCCGTTCCTGTTTCCCACACATTTTCAATGATGTTTCAGAGCAAGACTTGGAAGGCAGAAGAGACACAGGGAGTATTACTCTCAGAAATCCATAATGAACAGACATGGCAATTGTGACTTAATCTTTCATCTCCTCGTCTTGGATTTCAGGTTATTTTACTTCAGTGTGAAAAAAACCCCCGCAAAACCAAGCAGATTCACAATAGCACGTAGTTCACATAAATTCTCTCCTAATGTTTTAGGTAATTCAGAACATTAACATAGAAGTTAATGCACCAAGTCCACTTCCCTGTCAGCAATTTTCTTCTAGAATTGTCTTATGCTGACTGCCAAAACTTATCATGAACCAATGTCTTTATGGTCCTATATAAGTAAGTAATTATAAGGTTTTACTTTACATATTGGAAATAGATTCACAGATATGACTGGCAATTATTATTACCAGTCAGACCCACATTGTATGAAGGGCTCAGAAAAATACCTTGAAAATAGAGAAAGCATATGGAATGGCTGCCTTATCAGCTCACAGCAATCAAAACATTTGGTTCAGAACAACACCCAAGCCATTCCTTCAACAGGAGCCCTGGGGGTACACTTTGGGCTGCTAACTGAAAGGTCAGCAGCTTGAAACCACTGGCCACTCTGTAGGAGAAAGATGAGGCTTTCTATTCCCATAAAGATGCACAGTCATGGAAAGCCACGGAGACAGTTCTGCCCTGTTTTATAGGGTCCCTGTGAGTAGGGATTGACTAGATGGCAGTGAGTCTTCCTTTGAGTTTATTTCCTTCAGTCAAAGACTATCTTGTAAAGATCCCTCTCCTCTCTGCCCCCACCATCTATCTAGGACATAGTGGACTTAAAACTTTTTTTAATGAACAAAATAATGTCTCCTAATGAGTCGGAATTGACTCGATGACCGTGAGTTTGAGTTGTTATTTTTTGGATTGTGAAGTGTAACTTTGGTCAGATTATGTAACTTGTAATGCGATTTTTGTCCCTGTTACTGTTTTCACATCTAGCAAAGAGCCAAACACACAAAGGAAATGGTAAATAAGTGTTTCTTGAATAAGTCGTGATCCGTATTAAACATAGGAAGCGGACTTACAAAAACATGTTCTAGTTTTGAAACAACCCTGAATAATTTCAAACACTACTTTTATGTCATACATCTGTATAAAGAAACGTAACAACTGTTACAAAGGCAATCTCATTTTCTTTTTTTAAAAAAAATTAATTTATTGAGGCTCATACAATTCATCACAATACATAGATCAATTGTGTAAAGCACATCTATACATTTGTTGCCCTCATTATTCCCAAAATTCGCTTTCCTCTTGAGTTCCTGGAATCAGCTCATTTTCCTTTTTTCCCCTCCCCCTCCCTTCCATGCTCATGTTCAATTGTATAAACCGAGCTATTTCTACAATTGATGTATCTGTTCTCCAGTCTATTTTCCAGTTATCTTTGTTTCAGTTATAGTTCCTGAAAACTCCTTCCTACTCATTGCGATTGAGTTGATTCCAACTCATATTGACTCGATAGGACCGAGCACCCCTGCCTCACAGGGATTCTGAAGCTATTCATTTTTATGGGAGTGGGCTGCCCCATCTTTCTCCTTCAGAACAACTCGTGGTTTTGAACACGTGACTTTCCCCTTAGCAGCCTGATCCTGAACACGCTGCACCACCAGGGCTCCTTGAAACTTCTTACTTGTAAATGGAGTTCAGACATTCTTTGTTGTGTGTGTGTGTGTGTGTGTGTGTCTGAATGGTGGCAATGGTCTTCCCTAATCTCCCTGGCCTCAAATTCAATTGCTTTCTAGTCTTAGGGTGATATTATTCAAATAGATCCGACCTGAGTTACGGCTGCCCTCGGTTGGTTAGAAAACAAATGCCCAAGGCTGGTCAATAGAAATCTAATGCAGAGGACAAATGATAGTTTCCAATATCACATTTAGAAACTTATAAAATAAAACAATAAAATTAAATGTAATCGAATATTTAATTCCAGATACCTAAAACAGAATTGCTGTAGTATTGACTCAATATAGTTCATGTTCTTTTTGTTTGTGCTAAGTTTTTGAAAAGTGCGATGAGTTTTACATTTGCAACCCTTCTCCGTTTGTTCTAGTGGCTATGAGACGTATGAGATAGTGCAGTTCTAATCTATGGCTCTCTACTCTATCTTTACTCACTTCTTGGAGACTTCATTCAATCTCAAGGCTTTAACTCATCTCTCTGCCAATGACTTTCAAATTTATATTTAAAATCAGCTTTCTGTTCTCAACTGTAGATTCTCTATTTAATAAATTATTAGACATCTCCAGTTGAATATTAAATAGATGTCTACAGTTCATTATGTCCAGAATAAACTCATGATCTTCCCTGAAAACCATGTCTACCCACAGCATCCCCAATATCAGTTGATGTGAAGTCTATCCTTCTATTAGTTTAAACCCAAACCCTGACACTATCCTTAACTTCTCTCCTAACTTCTCTCATGTTTGACCAAATAGGACATTCAATTGGCTACCCCTCACCATAGATCTAAAATCATATTACTTCTTACCTGTCAGTTAATTCTGTCGGAGTCTGGCCTAAATTTCTGCAGTAGCTTTCTAAATGGATTCCTGGCCTGTCTTGTAACCATCACCACCACTCCCCCACCCTTTTTTTTTGCAACACAGCAGCCAAAGTGTTCCTTTAAAATTTAAACTGTTATTTTACTGTTCACAAATTCCTTTGACTGCTATTTCATTTAGAGTTTAAATCAAAGTCCTTGTAAATTCAAAACCCTCATTGCCACTGAATTAATTCTGACTCATAGAGGCCCTATAGTACAGGGTGGAGCTGTCCCTGTGGGTTTCTGAGACAGTAACTGTTTATTAATGGAGTAGTAGAAAGCCTCATCTTTCTCTCCTAGAGCAGCTGGTGGTTTAGAATTGCTGACCTTGTGGCTAGCAGCCCAATGTGTAACCACTATACCACCAGGGCTCCTAAAGTCCTCCTAGTGGCTCACAAAGCCCTGTAGTTATCTGGCTTCCTCTAGTGCCCACTACCTTCACTTTTTCAAGACTTTGCTCAAATGCCACCATGACCATTTCTATCATTGGCCACAAAAACTTAATTCCAGGTAGCAAGCATGATCAAATCAAGATTGAAAATGTTCGAGTGAGTTAGCCCTTTGTACTCCTGCCTTTTGTCAGGAGAATAACATACCTCCAGTAGCTGAGGATCCAAGGAGAATGAGAGACATGGAGCATATCTGAACTTGAACCTTAACAGCCAGTGTGGGTAGTCTCAGCCTAAGTCAGCTGCATCTCTGTCCACTCAAAGATGTGTGAATGAGAAATTCATTCATGTACTTCTATGTTACTGAGTTTTTTTGTGTGTGTGTTTTTAAAAAAATGTAGTAATAACTTACTAATAATGCTTCATCAAGGCCCACCTTGGCCATCCAATATCCCTTTGCCACTCTCCC